AGTAATAACTTGAAAATAGCGCGCTAATCTCGGTGATCAATCTATAATTATTTTCATGAGTCCCTTTGAAGTTAATTGCTGAAAACGATGGGTCCTAAAATGTAAAATTTTGGTATCTCCAGAAATGTGGATTAATGATTTGATCACAGTGTGATCACCAATATTATCCAGTCATATATTTTTAAGTCAGACACTTCCAATGTTGCCAAGCCCTCAGCGTCAATATAAGATAAAACAAGGGTTACATTTGTGCAGGAGATTGGGGTGAATTTGAGTACACCTACGCCTTACCCGACCATGACCCAGAAAGCAGGATTATGAGAAATAATTCATTAATCTAGAACGAAAAAATAAAGTTCTTCAAAAATCTACTGAAATATTTCTAAAATTTGACATTTTCATGGGACGAATCTCTTTTATATCGCCATCATTCTACTGTTTCATACTATTTTTTAATTAGTCAATAAATGGTCAGTTTATGCATCTATCAGCAGTGTATAGAACTAAAGTTACAGTATTTTGTGGTATTGTGTACAGGAAGAATCATTTTTAGCATGTTTTTAGTTGGTAACAATGGCAATCACATGTAAGAAATCAGAGGAATGCAAATTAACTATTTCCTGCTATTATGTATACCTCACTTTTCTGCAAGAAACTTGTAATCCTCACCTCGTAACACCAGGTCTGATATCGGTGTTTTGTACTCCCTACATAACACCATGGTCTGATATCTGTGTTTTATATGTCCCTTCATAACACCACGGTCTGATATTTGTGTTTTGTACTCCCTTCATAAGACCATGGTCTGATATCTGTGTTTTATATGTCCCTTCATAACACCATGGTCTGATATTTGTGTTTTGTACTCTCTTCATAACACTATGGTCTGATATCTGTGTTTTGTACTCCTTCATAACACCATGGTCTAATATTTGTGTTTTGTACTCTCTTCATAACACTATGGTCTGATATCTGTGTTTTATACTCCCTTCATAATACCATGGTCTGATATCTGTGTTTTATATGTCCCTTCATAACACCATGGTCTGATATCTGTCTTTTATGTGCTCCCTTCATAACACCATGGTCTGATATCTGTGTTTTACATGTCCCTTCATAACACCACGGTCTGATATTTGTGTTTTTTACTCCCTTCATAACACCATGGTCTGATATTTGTGTTTTGTACTCCCTTCATAAGACCATGGTCTGATATCTGTGTTTTGTACTCCCTTCATAACACCATGGTCTGATATCTGTGTTTTATATGTCCCTTCATAACACCATGGTCTGATATCTGTGTTTTGTACTCCATTCATAACACCATGGTCTGAAATCTGTGTTTTGTACTCCCTTCATAACACCATGGTCTTAAATCTGTGTTTTGTACTCTCTTCATAACACTATGGTCTGATATCTGTGTTTTGTACTCTCTTCATAACACTATGGTCTGATATCTGTGTTTTATACTCCCTTCATAACACCATGGTCTGATATCTGTGTTTTATATGTCCCTTCATAACACCATGGTCTGATATCTGTCTTTTATGTGCTCCCTTCATAAGACCATGGTCTGATATCTGTGTTTTATATGTCCCTTCATAACACCATGGTCTGATATCTGTGTTTTGTACTCCATTCATAACACCATGGTCTGAAATCTGTGTTTTGTACTCCCTTCATAACACCATGGTCTTAAATCTGTGTTTTGTACTCCCTTCACAGCACCATGGTCTGATATCTGTGTTTTGTACTCCTTCATAACACCATGGTCTAATATTTGTGTTTTGTACTCTCTTCATAACACTATGGTCTGATATCTGTGTTTTGTACTCCTTCATAACACCATGGTCTAATATTTGTGTTTTGTACTCTCTTCATAACACTATGGTCTGATATCTGTGTTTTATACTCCCTTCATAATACCATGGTCTGATATCTGTGTTTTATATGTCCCTTCATAACACCATGGTCTGATATCTGTCTTTTATGTGCTCCCTTCATAACACCATGGTCTGATATCTGTGTTTTACATGTCCCTTCATAACACCACGGTCTGATATTTGTGTTTTTTACTCCCTTCATAACACCATGGTCTGATATTTGTGTTTTGTACTCTCTTCATAAGACCATGGTCTGATATCTGTGTTTTGTACTCCCTTCATAACACCATGGTCTGATATCTGTGTTTTATATGTCCCTTCATAACACCATGGTCTGATATCTGTGTTTTGTACTCCATTCATAACACCATGGTCTGAAATCTGTGTTTTGTACTCCCTTCATAACACCATGGTCTTAAATCTGTGTTTTGTACTCTCTTCATAACACTATGGTCTGATATCTGTGTTTTGTACTCTCTTCATAACACTATGGTCTGATATCTGTGTTTTATACTCCCTTCATAACACCATGGTCTGATATCTGTGTTTTATATGTCCCTTCATAACACCATGGTCTGATATCTGTCTTTTATGTGCTCCCTTCATAACACCATGGTCTGATATCTGTGTTTTATATGTCCCTTCATAACACCACAGTCTGATATTTGTGTTTTGTACTCCCTTCATAACACCATGGTTTGATATTTGTGTTTTGTACTCCCTTCATAAAACCATGGTCTGATATCAGTGTTTTATATGTCCCTTCATAACACCATGGTCTGATATCTGTGTTTTGTACTCTCTTCATAACACCATGGTCTGAAATCTGTGTTTTGTACTCCCTTCATAACACCATGGTCTTAAATCTGTGTTTTGTACTCCCTTCATAGCACCATGGTCTGATATCTGTGTTTTGTACTCCTTCATAACACCATGGTCTAATATTTGTGTTTTGTACTCTCTTCATAACACTATGGTCTGATATCTGTGTTTTATACTCCCTTAATAACACCATGGTCTGATATCTGTGTTTTATATGTCCCTTCATAACACCATGGTCTGATATCTGTGTTTTATGTGCTCCCTTCATAACACCATGGTCTGATATCTGTGTTTTGTACTCCCTTCACAGCACCATGGTCTGATATCTGTGTTTTGTACTCCCTTCATAACACCATGGTCTGATATCTGTGTTTTATACTCCCTTCATAACACCATGGTCTGATATATGTGTTTTGTACTCCTTCATAACACCATGGTCTAATATTTGTGTTTTGTACTCTCTCCATAACACCATGGTCTGATATCTGTGTTTTATATGTCCCTTCATAACACCATGGTCTGATATTTGTGTTTTGTACTCCCTTCACAGCACCATGGTCTGATACCTGTGTTTTATAATCCCTTCATAACACCATGGTCTGATATCTGTGTTTTATACTCCCTTCATAATACCATGGTCTGATACAGGGCGCAAAAAAAGCACTCGTCCACTTGTCCTGGACGAGCTAAATTTGGCTGGGGACGAGTGAATGTTGTCGTGCACTCGTCCCAGGTGACGAGTAAATTTCAAAAGCAAATAATAAATAAATCAAAATGATGAATTTGCGTGCATTGTCTTCAGCATTTATTCCATGAAATCTTTCTAAACAAATTAGGATTAAATCATACTTAAAATTAAGTTCCGTCGAAGCCTTTTCTCTATGTTCAGGATACAGAAGCGCAGACGTGATTTTGATGCGTTTACGTGATAAAGAAGGGAGAGACTTATAAATGGATATGACAATGTATTCTGGACCCAGTATCGTATCAATTACGGAAAATTTTAAAGGTACTGAGAATGACATTATCTATGAGAGAGACAAGTCTGAAATGATGACTAAACAAAACTGCAGTTCCTGTATAATTACAAGATATGATTATTAAAACAATGAAAACACATTAACACAGGTTTTGTTTACTTTTATGTAGAATTAAAAATTGCAAGTCTGAGGGACGAGTAATTTTTGTTCAGGGACGAGTGGTTCTCATGTGGCACTCGTCCCCTTGGACGAGTGCTTTCAAAAATATTTTTCTCACCCTGTGATATCTGTGTTTTGTACTCCCTTCATAACACCATGGTCTGATATCTGTGTTTAGCTCAATCGGACAATTGATCCTGCTTTTCTGATGTGTACCGCCAATAAGTGTCTGGTTGATGCGAGAAAACAGATATCAAAATATTTAATGATGTTCTGAACAAAGTTATCTTGAAAGGAAAGCAAGTACCATTTTAAAACCTGAGGGATCAAACGAATGAGTTTTTTGCAACAGTCTATATTGGGTTAAGCCAGAGAAATTGAGTGCATTGGCTGTTAACGTAGATGATTCAGGTACCAACTAAATAGTTATATTACACTTTGATAGAGTATTTTTGTTTAGAATTTGCTAACCATTGACCATTCTGTAGGTGTAGACACTCATTATAAACATATCAAATAGACATCAGTTTTTTCTCTGCAATGAAACATTGAAAATCTTATAGAGAATAAATTTTTTTTTAACTATTCTTCTTTATTACTCTCATTTTCCTATTGTTTTGTTCAGATTAGCAGTACTGGTCCCTTGTTTTTATCTTGATAAATTTTTAACCAATTTCCTTGAAACTTGTTTTCCTTCTTGACATTTTTACCCATTACAAAATTTGTATTGGCTTATGAACAATAAATCAAGAATATTTCTTTGGCATGGTATGAGTGTATCTTGTTCTGCCCTGCAGTGCACTGCCATTCTAACAGAGTGCTCTGTCAGAATAAAAACAACAACGGTAGCATCACAATTGTTTATTCATATTAGAAATGGCAGGCATTTTGTGTGTACATTCAATAATGCATTGAAGGCCTTGATTTCTGTATAATGGTCAATTTTCTACCATTTCAAAAGAACATACTACAAGTTATATTTGGTAGAGATTAATCAGGTGACTTCCATGGGCCTCTTTTTAGTTAAATAAATAGCATGTTACACCAGCAATGAATTTCCTTATTAGGGCTAATTGCTAATGATTATACAAGAAAAGTTTCACCATTGCAATATTGAATAAGAGTGACATCTATTAATTTTCTTGATAGGGTGAACATGCCTGCACGTCGAGCTCAGATGTGTGGTTGTGGTAGGGGAGTGTTTGGACTCATAGATTGGACTACACCCCTCCGCCGACCAGCTGCTCTCATTTCAGACGTCCCAACCTCCCCAGGAGTTACTTCCCCTAAATCTGTCACTTCACCTTTCTCTCCTTTTCCAATTTCTCCTGGAAATGCTGTTGGCTGTAAGTATATATCCAGAAGGGAGAATATTAAGTGATGGATGTTCAGGATAGTGATTTAAACATCAAAACACGATGGAATTTGAGTTTTTTTCATGTAAAACCAATTTTCATGAGGTAATACTTATCATAACTTAAGTATGCAAATACAGTACCTACACCCATCTTTGTATCTCAACAACAAAAGATTCAAATAATCCCGCCCTCCCTACGATCCATGAGCCATCACAGCAGGAACATAGAGTGATCTCCCTTCCTCTAATAATTTTTATGGAGCACTCCACCGAGGGACAGCCAGACAGATATTGAAGAGGGGAGGATAGGGTGGGACTCCATAAAGTTATGGTAAGTATTACCTCATGAAAATTGGTTTTACATGAAAAAAACTCAAGTTCATTTCAGTAATAATTATCATAACTTTAGTATGCGAATTCGTCTTACCGTAGTGGTGACTAGAAGCCAGACAGCCCCTTCAGCACAGCCAAAGTAGTAGGGAGGGAGAACAGAGTGCCAAAGAGAAGGAAGGGACCTTCCCATGTAAGAGCAGGTGTACCCATGTGTCGCCATATGGAAAGACATGCCCCGGGGCTAACGAGGAGGCACAGCCATTGACTGTGCCACCAACAGAGGTCCCAACAAATACAGGCCTTCTGAGTGGGAAGCTAGGGATCGCAGATGAAAATCTGTGAAGGTATCCCTGCTCCGCCAGAATGCTGCCGACAATGACCTACTGAAAGGAGGACCCATTGAGAAGGGCCCAGGACGCAGCGAGGGCCTGGACCTAATAAGCCTGCACTTTCACTCTTGCCTGAGCCTGAGCCTGATCATCAGAATGCTCATAAGCATACTTAATCACCTGGCAAACCCACCTGGAAACCGTCTGGGAGATATCTTGTTGTCCCTGTTTGATGGGCAAAAACAGATGGGATCGAGAGCCCCGCCCCCTGGTTTTATCGAGATAAAACCTAAGAGCCCGACAAGGACAAAGCAACCTATCTCGCTCCTCCGAGCTAGTCAAAACCGCGATCCTGATGGGCGAAAACCTGGGAACCTGATTCTTCGCTAAAAAGAAAGGATCAGTTAGGAGAGTTACAGCAGCGTGGCCTCTTGACCAAGGTAGACAAGAGGGGAGTGACGACAAGGCGTGGACCTCACTCCTTCTACATCCAGAGGCCAAAGCCAAAAGGAAGACTGACTTGAAAGTTACAAACTTTAACAAGGCAGACTCCAGAGGCTCATAAGGAGCCCTAGTCAGGGAATCTAGCACCAGGGCCAGATTCCACTGTGGGGCCAGGTGCCGAACTCTGGGTTTATCCAGAGCGAAGTCTCTGATAAGGGGAGAAAGAGAGGAGGACGAACATGTCTCTTTCCTGCCATAAAAAGCAAGGACACTGGCAATAGATGTACGATAGCCAGCCATAGTGCCAGGTGCCAGATTGCGGTTTCCAAACTACGAATGAGAGTACAAAGCCTACCGTACGCAGAAAGACTGCACTGCAAAAAAGGGACAGTTGTACAAAACGGCTGACGAAGCAGCAAGAAAACAAATTACAACTTCATGAAAATCAGAACGACGAGACACGTAGTCATGCTCTTGAACATGTGGAGGAAAACACCGCCAGAAAAACGGTCAAAATAAACAAATGCCAATACTTAATTTCACAAATATGTTGGGAGATGGGTTTATAGACTACTATGAGGGTAACAATATACTCAGACAATAATAGCAGTACGAAGAGAAGGAGTAAAGAAAGCACTCAGCTCAGACACCTTCACACTCATCAGCAGCCATAAAGGTAAGAGGAAGGGAGATCACTCTATGTTCCTGCCGTGATGGCTCATGGATCGTAGGGAGGGCGGGATTGTCTGAATCTTTTGTAGTTGGATTACAAGGATGGGTGTAGGTACCGTATTTGCATACTAAAGTTATGGTAAGTATTACTGAAATGAGTATATTTATTGAAGGATTCATTTGATCCATTGGCTCAATGTTTTTATTGACATTACTTTTATATCTCCATGAGAATAATACCTTATGGTAACATGCCACTTTTTGTCGGTTAATAATTTGCATTACCTCGTGTGTTTGTGTGAACATTACTTTTGTTCTGGTACTGCCCTGTGATAGTCATTACCTTGTGTGTTTGTGTGAGCATTATTTTGGTCTGGTACTGCCCTGCGATAGTCATTACCTTGTGTGTTTGTGTGAACATTTCTTTGGTTTGGTACTGCCCTATGATAGTCATTACCTTGTGTGTTTGTGTTAACATTACTTTTGGTCTGGTACTGCCCTGTGATGGTCATTACCTTGTGTGTTTGTGTGAACATTTCTTTGGTTTGGTACTGCCCTATGATAGTCATTACCTTGTGTGTTTGTGTTAACATTACTTTTGGTCTGGTACTGCCCTGTGATGGTCATTACCTTGTGTGTTTGTGTGAACATCACTTTTGGTCTGGTACTGCCCTGTGATGGTCATTACCTCGTGTGTTTGTGTGAACATTACTTTTGCTCTGGTACTGCCCTGTGATGGTCATTACCTCGTGTGTTTGTGTGAACATTACTTTGGGACTTGTACTGCCCTGTGATAGTCATTACCTTGTGTGTTTGTGTGAACATTACTTTTGTTCTGGTATTGCCCTGTGATAGTCATTACCTTGTGTGTTTGTGTGAACATTACTTTTGTTCTGGTACTACCCTGTGATAGTCATTACCTTGTGTGTTTGTGTGAGCATTATTTTGGTCTGGTACTGCCCTGCGATAGTCATTACCTTGTGTGTTTGTGTGAACATTTCTTTGGTTTGGTACTGCCCTATGATAGTCATTACCTTGTGTGTTTGTGTTAACATTACTTTGGGTCTGGTACTGCCCTGTGATGGTCATTACCTTGTGTGTTTGTGTGAACATCACTTTTGGTCTGGTACTGCCCTGTGATAGTCATTACCTTGTGTGTTTGTGTGAACATTGCTTTGGGACTTGTACTGCCCTGTGATAGTCATTACCTTGTGTGTTTGTGTGAACATTACTTTTGGTCTGGTACTGCCCTGTGATAGTCATTACCTTGTGTGTTTGTGTGAACATTACTTTTGGTCTGGTACTGCCCTGTGATAGTCATGCATGTTTGTGTGAAGGTAAGAAAAGTATAAACCTGATGTGAAAAAATCTTTTTTCTTGTAACTTTAGCTTGGGCTGATGCAGCAGAGAGTCCATCTATTCAAAAGTTCATTAGTGGAGACAGATTGATAGTGAAATATAGCTATACAGCAAATAAAGACAGTCCGTTGGATCTGCCAGAACTAAATGTTCATGAAGAAGATATTGTTCAATTCATTTCTTTCCATGCTGACAACAAATTGTGGTCCTGTGTGTGTGATTCTAATGGGAAAGAGGGCTATGTACCGTCAGACTATCTCATGGTAAGTATATATGTTTAAGGTAATCATTGATACCTTCAGTTCCTGAGGTTCTAGCATCAGGTCAAGTAAGATGTCTTCTTTTCACATTGTATTGTGTAATATTATGTTCAGATAATCTCAAAATCCTTTTTAACTCACTTGGTGCATCTGTCAACTTTTTTTTTTAATTGCTACTAAGCTTATTGACTGAATTAAGTCTTCAGCATCATTTGGAAAAAGGAGAATCAGTTTAGATCTCCGCCCCTGGGGTGGATGGAGCAGGGTTCAATAGAGAAAAGGGCAATGTCTTTAAACTTCTCAATTTTGTCAGAAACATGCTTAGATGAAAAGGACTTAATTTTGGATAAAAAGTGGGTCTCGGCCCTCTAGAGCTGGAGGGACGGAACCAAATGGGAAAAAAAAACAAATTCATTTAACACCTTCTGCTGGGATTATTAATTTTTGTCAAAATTAGTTTTGAAGCTTCTTTGCGTGAACAAATATCAAGTTTTGTCCGTCATCGTCTGTCGTCATCTGCCAACCTCTGTGCATAAACTTTCTATGCAAAGTTGAACCTCTTCTCAATAACTAGAAGGCTCAGGGCACTGATATTAGGATTTAGCATGATCGGATAAAGGGGTACCAAGTTTGCTAATATGAATGACCTTTACCTACTTTCAAGGTCATAGAGGTCAGATATGTTAAAACTTCAAACAACTTCTTTTCAATAACCAAAAGGTCCAGGTGCTGATATTAGGCCTGCAGTGTGCAAGGATGAAGGGCTAAGTGATCTGTTAATATTAATAACCTTGATCCACTTTTAAGGTCACAGGGGTCAAATATGTTAAAATGTTCAAACAATTTCTTTTTAACAAGCAAAAGGCCCAGTTTGCTGATGTTAGGCCTTAAGCATGCTACCAAGTTTGTTAATATGAATAGGGCCTTGATTTGCTTACAGGAGTCAAATATGTTAAAAAACTTCTTAAAAAGCAAAACGGCAAGGGTGCTGATATTAGGCCTGCAATATGCAAGGATGAAGGGCTACATGATTTGAAAGGCAACAAGGTCTGTTAATATGAATTATCTTTACTTGCTTTCAAAGTCACTAGGGTCAAATAAGCAAAAGGCCTATTGTGCTGATATTGGGTCTTTAGCATGCTTGGATAAAGGGCCACCAAGTTTGTTCACCTTGACTTACTGTCAATGTCACAGGGGTCAAATGTTTTGAAAACTTCTTCTCAGTAACCAAAAGGCCAAGAGTCTTGATATTGGGCAATATGTCTGGAGTAATGGCATTTGTGTAGTGCATGTATAAAGAATATTTTTTCAAGTTTGCAGACAATGTCCTTATGAACCATCCAGTATCTTCTATGCCATCTGTAGTGTACTTGAGCAATTTATTTTAGGCCTATTTGGCCTCTTTCATGTATTGGTTCTTATGAACAAATGACCCTTAAGGCCTGTGGGCATCTTGTTGTATAAACGGCTTCTAATTCCTTTTGTGTAGAAGCGAATGGTCTTACAGGTATGAGTTAGCCCCTAAGTGATCAGTTCTGGTGTGAAACCTTTAGGGTCTGGAGGATGGGGTACAGTATGAAAAATGGTTAAAAAATCTTTCTTTTTCTGCTCGGCTGAAGGTATTTGGATGAAATTTGATTCAAATCTTTGCATGTCTGAATATTTCTGGAAAAGCTTAACATTATGATTAAACATGTTTTAATGTGGAATCTGAAAATGCAGACCTGATGGGCCTTTTGACTTATCTTTTCAACCATGAATTTCCACACACAATACCTTAAAACTCTTACTATTACTATCAACATATTAACCTGTTTTATAGATTATGGAAGAAAATACTAAATCATTGCCATGGTTACCGAAGCAAGCTGAGGTTCAACAAGAAGGTAAAACCATTCCTCCTGTTTTTTGTAGAAGATATTGCCCTGTAAGTTTACTGTACTTCAATACATTACACTGTTAAAGTTGTATGGTAAGAATTTTTGCATTTGTCTCTCAAGTCCAAATACAATTGAAACTCCTCTCGAAATCACTTCACTCGTAATTCTGTTTGAGTTGAAATAATTTTCTTTTAAGTCTCCATTTTTTTCTTTCTATATCTTGGTAATTTTAATTTGGGTGACTCAAATTTCATTGAGTGGAAATTTTGGTTGAGTCAAAGCAATTTTTGCAGCCCCTACAGTTGGAAAGCAAGGGAAAAGTCAATCGTTGTCTCGAAATTAACTTTTGTTGAAACATTGGCACGTCTTCTGACAAAATCAGCCAATACATAACCAAAGTAGAAAATCACCTGTGCACATGGCTAATTATGGTGTATCAGTGGTCCATTGTACACACAACACTTGGTCTCTGGCCATTAATTTAATTATCCAATAAAAGTTTGGCTTTTTAATGAGGATCACCATCGTGTAGCAGTAACTTACCTGTATGTTAAAAAAGTAGCGCATTTACACAAAACATGAAACATTGAACTTGGTCAGGAACAATGAAAATGAAACCGCTTGACGGTCAAACCAGTACGAACATTTGACGAAATCTGGACCCCACAATTCTGAGAGAAACTAATTATAATCTTGTTTTCTAAAGGACTGTGATCAGGTACTTTGTAGATTTAGTGCTTGGACATTGATAGGGTCTATTTCTGATTTGTTAAGTCTAATAAATGTATAGTGTTTTCTATAACAAGTAAAACATTCTAGCGCTGCATTTTTCATATCTTCATTCATTTACAGTCAAGTCATATTAATATGATCTGTAGCTTTATACATTGTTTCTTGTAGCGTATCAAAAGCAAATTTTAATTTTGTCTTATTGTCATTCAGTAAAATATATGACGTGTATGTGCTTAGTCAGTAAGGGTATTGTACACGTGTGCAGGACGGAACGACGTCAGTACAAATGCATTTGATTGGAGTTGTTATTTCATGTTTTGTTGTTTAGATGAATAAACAATAAAAGGAGAAAGTAGAATCAAATTTATTTGTTTATTTACTGCCATTTCAAAAAACAGACCAAACTACACTGTTTGCATGCTGTAATCAACAAACTGATATTGTCAACCTGATTTGTACACATCCTTGGAGTCCAGCTTTGGATAAGTTGAAATACTTTCCATAGTCCGTTGTATTTCGAGATAACATGTTTCTACCACAATAATAAAATCCAAGTACAAAAAACTGAACAGTGGCAACTATAATATATTCAGAATTTCCATTTTAAGTCACCTGAGACAAAATCTCATGGTGGCCTATTGCTTCACTTTGGTATTCGGTGACGTCAAGTGTCTGGGTTTTTTTTTACATTTTTTACTTCTTCTGGAACAAAATCCTGACTGATTTCGATTTCAATGACACATTCCCTGGCAAAAAGTTAACCAAAATGGTAAATATATATGTAAATAATAGGAAATGACATTTTTTTTTATATAACCTGTATTATTCGAAAACATTGTTAGATTTGTCAGTAAATGATAACAGTTTATCATCATTCACATATAGACCCTTGTTGATCCCTAGGGGTTGATGAACATGGCAAAAGCAGTCATATTGATTGAAATTTTAAAATCTTTTTCTCAAAAACAAAGATGATAGAATGAAATACTATACAAAGGTGTAAGGTTTTTAAGGTACTTTACTAAATTTTATGACCCCAGGGCCTCATATTTCCCCCAGGGGAGGGGGCAAAATTTGCTATAGTTTATAAAGAAAATACGTGTTTTTGAAGATAATTTGTATATTGTTACATACCCTGTGTGTGTAATTCTAATAACCAAGGGGTGATGGGCATGGCCAAAAAGGGTTGTATTGAATGAAATTTAAAAAATCATCTCAATACCCAAATATTGTTGAGTCAAATACCTGGGGTTAGGTACTCTTCATGGATGGAAGGGTCTTAAAAAGGTTTTCTGTGGCTGACCCCCCTGGGGCTGGTTGATATGGCCAAAAAGGATCAAATTGCCTGAATTTGAAAACTTTTCAAAACCTAAATATTATAGAATCAAGTACTCTTCAAGGATAAAAGGGTTATAAGTTAAAACTCTTCTGTCACTATACAAATAGCATTTCTCATCTTCTCTGTACTACATATTCATTCCAATTGTTTCAGTTTGTGAGTCCACACAGGTGACTATTTAGGGCCCCTGGGATTCTTGTTTAGCACAGTTTACATTCCAAATCTTACATTTTTGATGTGTCTGTCATGCTCAATCAGATTTGGTGTTATTTGTTAGTGAATACCTACCTCTGTTGCTTTCAAAAACTCACTTGGTTGGTAGGGGACTCAAATTTGCATAAACAATCGGTCTCTACCCCCTTTGGGGCAGGAGGGATGGGGCCCATTAGGAGGGATGGGACCCATTAGGGGATGGGACCCATTAGGGGATGGGACCCATTAGGGGATGGGGCCCATTAGGAGGGGTAGGATGAAGGGGCGGCCTAACAGAGGTAAGAATTGATACAGGCCCTATCTAGATCTCCATTGGGCGAAGGGGCACCCTAACAGAGGTTAGGAATGATACAGGCTCTATGTAGATCTCTATGAGGTGGAGGGGCTGCTTAACAAAGGAAAGGAATGATACAGGCCCTTATCTAGATCTCCATTGGGCAGAGGGGGTCTAACAGAGGATGGGAATGATACAGGCCCTTATCTAGATCTCCATTGGGCAGAGGGGGACCTAACAGAAGATGGGAATGATACAGGCCCTTATCTAGATCCCCATTGGGCGAAGGGGCACCCTAACAGAGGTTAGGAATGATACAGGCCCTATTTAGATCTCTATGAGGTGGAGGGGCTGCTTAACAGAGGCTAGGAATGATACAGGCCCTATCTAGATCCCCATGGGGCAGGGGGGGGGGGGGCCTAACAGAGGATAGGATTGATAAAGGACCTATCTAGATCTCTATGGGGCAGAGGGGGACCTAACAGAGGATGGGAATGATACAGGCCCTTATCTAGATCTCCATTGGGCAAAGGGGGGCCTAACAGAGGATGGGAATGATACAGGCCCTATTTAGATCTCTATGAGGTGGAGGGGGACCTAATAGAGGAAAGTAATGATACAGGCCCTATCTAGATCTCTATGGGGCGGAGGGGGACCTAACAGAGGATGGGAATAATACAGGCCCTATCTAGATCTCTATGGGGCGGAGGGGGACCTAACAGAGGATGGGAATGATACAGACCCTATCTAGATCTCTATGAGGCGGAGGGGTGGCCTAACAGAGGATGGGAATGATACAGGCCCTATCTAGATCTCTATGGGGCGAACGGGGGCCTTGCAGAGGATGGGAATGATACAGGCCCTATCTAGATCTCTATGGGGCGAAGGGGGGCCTAACAGAGGTTAGGAATGATACAGACTGTATGTAGATCTCTATGAGGTGGAGGGGCGGCTTAACAGAAGATGGGAATGATACAGGCCCTTATCTAGATCTCCATTGGGCAGAGGGGCGCCTAACAGAGGATGGGAATGATACAGGCCCTATTTAGATCTCTATGAGGTGGAGGGGCGGCTTAACAGAGGAAAGGAATGATACAGGCCCTTATCTAGATCTCTATGAGGTGGAGGGGCTGCTTAACAGAGGATAGGAATGATACAGGCCCTATCTAGATCCCCATGGGGCAGGGGGGGGCCTAACAGAGGATGGGAATGATACAGGCCTTTATCTAGATCTCCATTGGGCAGAGGGGGGCCTAACAGAGGATGGGAATGATACAGGCCCTATTTAGATCTCTATGAGGTGGAGGGGCGGCTTAACAGAGGAAAGGAATGATACAGGCCCTATCTAGATCTCTATGAGGTGGAGGGGCTGCTTAACAGAGGATAGGAATGATACAGGCCCTATCTAGATCCCCATGGGGCAGGGGGGGGGGGGGCCTAACAGTGGATGGGAATGATACAGGCCTTTATCTAGATCTCCATTGGGCAGAGGGGGGCCTAACAGAGGATGGGAATGATACAGGCCCTATTTAGATCTCTATGAGGTGGAGGGGCGGCTTAACAGAGGAAAGGAATGATACAGGCCCTTATCTAGATCTCTATGAGGTGGATGGCCTGCTTAACAGAGGTTAGGAATGATACAGGCCATTCTAGATCTCCATTGGGCAGAGGGGGGCCTAACAGAGGTTAGGATTGATAAAGGCCCTATCTAGATCTCTATGGGGCGGAGGGGGACCTAACAGAGGTTAGGATTGATAAAGGCCCTATCTAGATCTCTATGGGGCGGAGGGGGACCTTACAGAGGATGGGAATGATACAGGCCCTATCTAGATCTCTATGGGGCAAAGGGGGGCCTTACAGAGGATGGGAATGATACAGGCCCTATCTAGATCTCTATGGGGCGGAGGGGGACGCAACAGAGGAAAGTAATGATACAGGCCTTATCTAGATCTCTATGGGGCGGAGGGGGACCTAACAGAGGATGGGAATGATACAGGCCCTATCTAGATCTCTATGGGGCGGAGGGGTGGCCTAACAGAGGATGGGAATGATACAGGCCCTATCTAGATTTCTATGGGGCGAAGGGGGGCCTTGCAGAGGATGGGAATGATACAGGCCCTATCTAGATCTCTATGAGGTGGAGGGGCGGCTTAACAGAAGATGGGAATGATACAGGCCCTTATCTACATCTCCATTGGGCAGAGGGGCACCTAACAGAGGATGGGAATGATACAGGCCCTTATCTAGATCTCCATTGGGCAGAGGGCGGCTTAACAGAGGAAAGGAATGATACAATCCCTTATCTAGATCTCTATGAGGTGGAGGGGCTGCTTAACAGAGGATAGGAATGATACAGGCCCTATCTAGATCTCTATGAGGTGGAGGGGCGGCTTAACAGAGGATAGGAATGATACAGGCCCTATCTAGATCTCTATGGGGCGGAGGGGCGGCTTAACAGAGGAAAGGAATGATACAGGCCCTTATCTAGATCTCTATGAGGTGGAGGGGCTGCTTAACAGATGATAGGAATGATACAGGCCATTCTAGATCTCCATTGGGCGAAGGGGCGGCCTAACAGAGGTTAGGATTAATAAAGGCCCTATCTAGATCTCTATGGGGCAGAAGGGGGACCTAACAGAGGATGGGAATGATACAGGCCCTATCTAGATCTCTATGGGGCGGAGGGGCAGCCTAACAGAGGATGGGAATGATACAGGCCCTTATCTAGATCCCCATTGGGCGAAGGGGCACCCTAACAGAGGTTAGGAATGATACAGGCCCTATTTAGATCTCTATGAGGTGGAGGGGCGGCTTAACAGAGGCTAGGAATGATACAGGCCCTATCTAGATCCCCATGGGGCAGGGGGGGGGGGGGCCTAACAGAGGATAGGATTGATAAAGGACCTATCTAGATCTCTATGGGGCAGAGGGGGACCTAACAGAGGATGGGAATGATACAGGCCCTTATCTAGATCTCCATTGGGCAAAGGGGGGCCTAACAGAGGATGGGAATGATACAGGCCCTATTTAGATCTCTATGAGGTGGAGGGGGACCTAATAGAGGAAAGTAATGATACAGGCCCTATCTAGATCTCTATGGGGCGGAGGGGGACCTAACAGAGGATGGGAATAATACAGGCCCTATCTAGATCTCTATGGGGCGGAGGGGGACCTAACAGAGGATGGGAATGATACAGACCCTATCTAGATCTCTATTGGGCGGAGGGGTGGCCTAACAGAGGATGGGAATGATACAGGCCCTATCTAGATCTCTATGGGGCGAACGGGGGCCTTGCAGAGGATGGGAATGATACAGGCCCTATCTAGATCTCTATGGGGCGAAGGGGGGCCTAACAGAGGTTAGGAATGATACAGACTGTATGTAGATCTCTATGAGGTGGAGGGGCGGCTTAACAGAAGATGGGAATGATACAGGCCCTTATCTAGATCTCCATTGGGCAGAGGGGCGCCTAACAGAGGATGGGAATGATACAGGCCCTATTTAGATCTCTATGAGGTGGAGGGGCGGCTTAACAGAGGAAAGGAATGATACAGGCCCTTATCTAGATCTCTATGAGGTGGAGGGGCTGCTTAACAGAGGATAGGAATGATACAGGCCCTATCTAGATCCCCATGGGGCCGGGGGGGGCCTAACAGAGGATGGGAATGATACAGGCCTTTATCTAGATCTCCATTGGGCAGAGGGGGGCCTAACAGAGGATGGGAATGATACAGGCCCTATTTAGATCTCTATGAGGTGGAGGGGCGGCTTAACAGAGGAAAGGAATGATACAGGCCCTATCTAGATCTCTATGAGGTGGAGGGGCTGCTTAACAGAGGATAGGAATGATACAGGCCCTATCTAGATCCCCATGGGGCAGGGGGGGGGGGGCCTAACAGTGGATGGGAATGATACAGGCCTTTATCTAGATCTCCATTGGGCAGAGGGGGGCCTAACAGAGGATGGGAATGATACAGGCCCTATTTAGATCTCTATGAGGTGGAGGGGCGGCTTAACAGAGGAAAGGAATGATACAGGCCCTTATCTAGATCTCTATGAGGTGGATGGCCTGCTTAACAGAGGTTAGGAATGAGGCCATTCTAGATCTCCATTGGGCAGAGGGGGGCCTAACAGAGGTTAGGATTGATAAAGGCCCTATTCTAGATCTCTATGGGGCGGAGGGGGACCTAACAGAGGTTAGGATTGATAAAGGCCCTATCTAGATCTCTATGGGGCGGAGGGGGACCTTACAGAGGATGGGAATGATACAGGCCCTATCTAGATCTCTATGGGGCGGAGGGGGACGCAACAGAGGAAAGTAATGATACAGGCCTTATCTAGATCTCTATGGGGCGGAGGGGGACCTAACAGAGGATGGGAATGATACAGGCCCTATCTAGATCTCTATGGGGCGGAGGGGTGGCCTAACAGAGGATGGGAATGATACAGGCCCTATCTAGATTTCTATGGGGCGAAGGGGGGCCTAACAGAGGATGGGAATGATACAGGCCCTATCTAGATCTCTATGAGGTGGAGGGGCGGCTTAACAGAAGATGGGAATGATACAGGCCCTTATCTAGATCTCCATTGGGCAGAGGGCGGCTTAACAGAGGAAAGGAATGATACAATCCCTTATCTAGATCTCTATGAGGTGGAGGGGCTGCTTAACAGAGGATAGGAATGGGCCCTATCTATCTCTATGAGGTGGAGGGGCAGAGAGAGGAAAGGAATGATACAGGCCCTTATCTCTCTATGAGGTGGAGGGGCTGCTTAACAGATGATAGGAATGATACTAACAGAGGATAGGGGGGGCCTTGCAATGATACAGGCCCTATCTAGATCTCTATGAGGTGGAGGGGCGGAGGATGGGCGGCAATCCCTTAACAGAGGAACAGAGGATAGGAATGATACAGGCCCTATCTAGATCTCTATGGGGCGGAGGGGCGGCCTAGATCTCTATGTGGCGGAGGGGCGGCCTAACAGAGGATAGGAATTATACAGGCCAGTCTAGATCTCTATGAGGTGGAGGGGCGGCTTAACAGAGGAAAGGAATGATACAGGCCCTTATCTAGATCTCTATGAGGTGGAGGGGCTGCTTAACAGATGATAGGAATGATACAGGCCATTCTAGATCTCCATTGGGCGAAGGGGCGGCCTAACAGAGGTTAGGATTAATAAAGGCCCTATCTAGATCTCTATGGGGCAGAAGGGGGACCTAACAGAGGATAGGAATGATACAGGCCCTATCTAGATCTCTATGGGGCGGAGGGGCGGCCTAACAGAGGATAGGAATTATACAGGCCAGTCTAGATCTCTATGAGGTGGAGGGGCGGCTTAACAGAGGATAGGAATTATACAGGCCAGTCTAGATCTCTATGGGATGGAGGGGGACCTAACAGAGGATGGGAATGATACAGGCCCTATCTAGATCTCTATGGGGTGGAGGGGGACCTAGCAGAGGATCGGAATGATACAGGCCCTTTCTAGATCTCTATGGGGCGAAGGGGGGCCTTACAGAGGATGGGAATGATACAGGCCCTCTCTAGATCTCTATGGGGCGGAGGGGGACCTTACAGAAGATAGGAATGATACAGGCCCTATCTAGATCTCTATGGGGAGGAGGGGGACCTAACAGAGGATGGGAATGATACAGGCCCTATCTAGATCTCTATGGGGCAAAGGGGGGCCTTACAGAGGATGGGAATGATACAGGCCCTATCTAGATCTCTATGGGGCGGAGGGACGGCCTAACAGAGGATGGGAATTATACAGGCCAGTCTAGATCTCTATGGGATGGAGGGGGACCTAACAGAGGATGGGAATGATACAGGCCCTATCTAATCTAGACTTGCCAATTGTATGTTATCATCATTACAAAAAATATATAGTCATCATTCAATTTTCATTTTTTACAATGTGTTATTTTTTACAATATGTTTTCGTTGTATAATTTTCCAGTGGAATACAAGCCGTATAAATCCGCCTATCAGAAGAACATGGCTCAAGAAACATCAAAACATCAGTTCAGTGAAGTGGGTTGTCGAGAGGTCAATTGACCAATGCCCTATAACGAACATTTAAAAAGTAAAGCACATCTTGTGGAAATGACGTTGTTGGAGGACAACTCATGAAAACAGAATTCTGGTTAGGTACTTGTTGTCAGGTGAAGGAAGTCACCTTAGGAACTTATTGTCAGGTGACAGAAATCTTATCAGGTACTTATTGTCAGGTGAAAGAAATATTGTTAGATACTTATTGACTGGTGAAGAAAGTCTTCTGATGTACATATTGTCAGGTGAAAGAAGTCTAGTTAGGTACTTATTGTCAGGTGAAAGAAATCTCATCAGGTACTTATTGTCAGGTGAAAGAAGTCTAGTTAGGTACTTATTGTCAGGTGAAGGAAGTCTTGTAAGGCACTTATTGTCAGGTGAAAGAAGTCTCATCAGGTACTTATTGTCAGGTGAAGGAAATCTCCTTAGGTACTTATTGTCAGGTGAAAGAAGTCTGGTTAGGAACTTATTGACAGGTGAAAGAAGTCTAGTTAGGTACTTATTGTCAGGTGAAGGAAGTCTCCTTAGGAACTTATTGTCAGGTGACAGAAATCTCATCAGGTACTTATTGTCAGGTGAAATAAGTCTTGTTAGGAACTTATTGTCAGGTGAAAGACTCTCGTAAGATACTTATTGTAAGGTGAAAGAAGTCTAGTTAGGTACTTATTATCAGGTGAAGGAAGTCTCGTAAGATACTTATTGTAAGGTGAAAGAAGTCTAGTTAGGTACTTATTGCCAGGTGAAAGAAGTCTAGTTAGGTACTTATTGTCAGGTGAAAGAAATCTCATCAGGTACTTATTGTCAGGTGACAGAAATCTTATCAGGTACTTATTGTCAGGTGAAAGAAGTCTAGTTAGGTACTTATTGTCAGGTGAAAGACTCTCGTAAGATACTTATTGTAAGGTGAAAGAAGTCTAGTTAGGTACTTATTGTCAGGTGAAGGAAGTCTCATAAGATACTTATTGTAAGGTGAAAGAAGTCTAGTTAGGTACTTATTGTCAGGTGAAGGAAGCCTTGTAAGATACTTATTGACTGGTGAAGGAAGTCTTGTTAGGTATTTATTGTCAGGTGAAGGAAGTCTCGTTTGGTACTTATTGTCAGATTAAGGAAGTCTCCTTAGAAACTTATTGACTGGTGAAGAAAGTCTTCTGATGTACTTATTGTCAGGTGAAGGAAGTCTCGTTTGGTACTTATTGTCAGGTGAAAGAAGTCTAGTTAGGTACTTATTGTCAGGTGAAGGAAGTCTCCTATTGTCAGATTAAGGAAGTCTCCTTAGAAACTTATTGACTAGTGAAGAAAGTCTTCTGATGTACTTATTGTCAGGTGAAGGAAATCTCGTTTGGTACTTATTGTCAGGTGAAAGAAGTCTCCTTACTTACTTATTGTCAGGTGAAAGACTCTCGTAAGATACTTATTGTAAGGTGAAAGAAGTCTAGTTAGGTACTTATTATCAGGTGAAGGAAGTCTCGTAAGATACTTATTGTAAGGTGAAAGAAGTCTAGTTAGGTACTTATTGTCAGGTGAAGGAAGCCTTGTAAGATACTTATTGACTGGTGAAGGAAGTCTTGTTAGGTATTTATTGTCAGGTGAAGGAAGTCTTGTAAGGTTAAAGAATGTGACTGATATTTAAAGGAAGACATTCATAACATCAAGTTGAGTGATTAAGATGGTTTTGTTGGAGATTAATTTTCTGTTGTTTTATTGTTTTGTTTAACAAGGTAAAATAAACATTCCAGATTTTTTTCACCACACAGCTTTGAATAATGACATGCAAAATAACTTATGTATGAAGTATCTGAGACTTTGATGTACAAAATTACTGACAGTAGAACTTTTTACAGTAGAACTTTTTACAGTGTTGTTGCAGATGTGTATGACATTAAAAAAAATGTTTTTTATCGGAAATAATGTTGATTTTTACTCACAACACTAAATATATCAATTTGATGAAGGGGGTAACTTTTATGTAACCTGGTTGAAACAGTCCAGATGTCACGGAATTATTGAAATACCTGTAGTCCTGTACTGGATAGAAATTTTTTTCAGTAAAATGATAAATTTGAGCTTGTCTCATGTAAAATTGTAAACAAGTGATAGTCTGCCATTTAGTATCAGATGGCAAGCACTCTTAGGTTCCTAACCTGTTTGTTAATTGGAGACAGTCATTCATTCTTCTTGGGTAGTATTTTCCACTTTTCAACTAATATTGGTCAATAAGTAATGTAATTTCTTTAAAATCCTTTTTCTTTTGTAGGGATGTATGTTTTTTGTCCCAGTATGGTTTGTGGCATCCTATTGTCAAGGGGAATCCATTTTGTAAATGTTATGAGCCATGAAGAGTCCTTATTTTCAAGAAACCCTTTCCATTATTTGTAATATGGAGATATGTATGGTTTCTGGAAAAAAATTGTGCCAGAGAATGCATCTTGAAATCTGAAATGAAAACGTAGCACAGCTCAGCTTTCTTCAATCCGTATGTTAAATTAACACTACACAGCTTTCTTCAATCCTGATGTTAAATTAACACTACACAGCTCTCTTCAATCCTGATGTTAAATTAACACTACACAGCTCTCTTCAATCCTGATGTTAAATTAACACTACACAGCTCTCTTCAATCCTGATGTTAAATTAACACTACACAGCTCTCTTCAAACCTGATGTTAAATTAACACTACACAGCTGTGTGATTGTGCCCGAAGATGAGACATCCAATAATTGGTCCTTGTCTGACGCCATTATTACATTTCCTGTATACAAACAGAAACCCCACCTATGTATTATGCAATCTTTCCTAAAGAAGAAAATTCTGGGTTATCTACTTCGGTATTACAATAATTTACAATATCTATTCATGGATTCCTAAACTTAACAAAAGTTCATATCATCAGTGTTTTATTGCTTGTCTAGCTGTTCAACCGAGCCTTTGTCAAAACTACTAACCACCATCCTGAGTACTAATTCTGAGCAATAAATAGTGTGTGGATTTTAAAGAACTCCAAGGAGCTTTTTACCAATCTTCAACACCCTCTTCTACCAAAGAACTTTTTACCAGTCTTCAACACCCTCTTCTACCAAAGAACTTTTTACCAATCTTCAACACCCTCTTCTACCAAAGAACTTTTTACCAATCTTCAACACCCTCTTCTACCAAAGAACTTTTTACCAATCTTCAACACCCTCTTCTACCAAAGAACTTTTTACCAATCTTCAACACCCTCTTCTACCAAAGAACTTTTTACCAATCTTCAACACCCTCTTCTACCAAAGAACTTTTTACCAGTCTTCAACACCCTCTTCTACCAAAGAACTTTTTACCAATCTTCAACACCCTCTTCTACCAAAGAACTTTTTACCAATCTTCAACACCCTCTTCTACCAAAGAACTTTTTACCAGTCTTCAACACCCTCTTCTACCAAAGAACTTTTTACCAATCTTCAACACCCTCTTCTACCAAAGAACTTTTTACCAGTCTTCAACACCCTCTTCTACCAAGGAGCTTTTTACCAATCTTCAACACCCTCTTCTACCAAAGAACTTTTTACCAATCTTCAACACCCTCTTCTACCAAAGAACTTTTTACCAATCTTCAACACCCTCTTCTACCAAAGAACTTTTTACCAGTCTTCAACACCCTCTTCTACCAAAGAACTTTTTACCAGTCTCCAACACCCTCTTCTACCAAAGAACTTTTTACCAGTCTTCAACACCCTCTTCTACCAAAGAACTTTTTACCAATCTTCAACACCCTCTTCTACCAAAGAACTTTTTACCAGTCTTCAACACCCTCTTCTACCAAAGAACTTTTTACCAGTCTTCAACACCCTCTTCTACCAAAGAACTTTTTACCAGTCTTCAACACCCTCTTCTACCAAAGAACTTTTTACCAATCTTCAACACCCTCTTCTACCAAAGAACTTTTTACCAATCTTCAACACCCTCTTCTACCAAAGAACTTTTTACCAATCTTCAACATCCTCTTCTAAACACATTTCCCTTCTTTCCTCCTCTCTAATTTTGCTCTTAATGATAAGACATTCAACATTCCTTTGCAGAAATAGCGATGATCATCTTTACCTGCCAAATCCAAAATGGCTGCCTGGAAGCCATTTTGTTTCTTCTGATCAGTCCCAAAATAAAAAGAGCATAAGGAGAGACCAAAGGGAACATACATCTGAAATTTGAGAGATATCCATTCAGTACTTCTTAAGAAATAGCATAACAATTTTTATCGGCAAATTCAAAGATGGCTACCTTCAGTCTTTTTGTTTGTCTGATCAGAACCAAAATGAAACAGGCACAACTAAGGATCAAGAAATGCTTACACATGAAATTTGAGAAAAACATTTGCTGTGATTCTTAAAAAAATAGCGATAACAACTTTCAAAGTCAAAATCTAAGATGTTCCTCTGTCAGCCATTTTGTTTTTTATGGCGAATCCCAAAATGAAATTGGCACAACTAGGAACTAAGTGGAACCTACATCTGAAATTTAACAAAGATCCTCAAAGTGCTTTTCAGGAAATGGCAATAACAAGCTTTCAAGGTCAAAATCCAAGATGGGCGCCTTTCGGCCATTTTGTGTTTCTGATCAGTCTTAAAATTACATAGAGACAATGGGAAAACTACATATAAAATTGGAGAGAGATCCATCACGTACGTAAAAAATAGTGATAACAAACATCATTGAAAATATCCAAGAGGACTGCCTTTCGGCCTTTTTTTTTTTTTTTTTATCAGGCCCAAAATACATCGGGCACAACTAGGGACCAAGGGGAACCTGCATGTGAAATTTAGGAAAGTTCCCTCATGTGCTTCAATGAAGCAGAAGACACTTACTCTTTTGGAAGAACTGATCTCAATCTCCTTGCCCTTTTTCAGGAGTCTCCATGACTGCTCAGCCAGCCTCTGCAGCTGTCTTGTGATGTTGCGTGCAAACAAATGTTAAAATCAGGACACAAAAATAAGAATATTCAGAAGAAAGACAAAATTTGTTGATTGATTTGACGCTAAGTCCACAGACTTTCAATAAAACCACAATTTGATTTTGAGCTGTGCTACACGATGTCTTCCCACATGTTTACTGTAACTTGTAATCTTTATCATAGGATATATATATATATATGGGGGTTTGGGATCACAAGCTGACACAAACCACAACACACATATAGGCATTACACTGAGAATTAGGGTGTCTTTATTTGGATCACGTGATACAGCCAATATTCAAAACTGACACTAACATCTGGACTGTTGGACCCAAAATGCTAATACATGACAATGTCACTAGTCACTTCCAGTACAATGCAAACCGTCCTCAACATTGCTTCGACTACAAATATTTGCTTCTGTGATAAGATCACGATATAACGATTCTATATGGAAACCACACTTGGGTAACAAGACACCTCCAGTGCAATACACACAGTGAAAAAATTTGTTGCCAAGGAGGCATAGTGATCAAAGGAAAAGTAAAAACCTGGATGGGGAGGTGCTTTACCCCCATAATTAAATAACTTTCGTAATTTTCATATATCTGATAACATCATCATTATGACACCAACACTTCATCACCATGAGACAAACAGATAATTATCATCATGATTATCATCAGCATTATAACAACTTATCATAATTATTATGACACCACCCGACATTCACCTTCACTTAACCTTCATACTCACTCGACCTTCACCTTCACCTGAACTTCACCTACACCCCACCTTCACCTTCACCCGATCTACATCTTCACCAATCTTCACCTTCACCTAACTTTCACTCAACCTTCACCTTCACTCGACTTTCCCTTTCACCCACATTCACCCAAACTTCATCTTCACCCTACATTCACCAAATCTTCACCCTCACCTGACCGTCACCCTTACCCGACCAACATTCCACCCAAATTTCACGCAACCTTAACCTTCACCCAACCTTCAACTTCACCTTCACCCGACCTCCACATTCACCCGACCTTCACGTTCATTCGATCTTCACTTACACTTGACCTTCACCTTCACTGGACTTTCACCTTCACCTGACCTTCTCCTTCACCCAACATTCACTTTACTTTCAACCTCACCCCTCCTTCCCCTTCACCTGTCCTGCACCTTCATTCGATCTTCACTTACACTTGACCTTCACCTTCACTGGACCTTCACCTTCACCTGACCTTCTCTTTCACCCAACATTCACTTTACTTTCAACCTCACCCCTCCTTCCCCTT